GGGGGCTGGAATGGGAATTTTGGGGGATGGGAAGGGAATTTTGGGGGCTGGAATGGGAATTTTGGGGGATGGGGAGGGAATTTTGGGGCTGGAATGAGGAGGATTTGGGGTTGGAATGAGGAGGATTTTGGGTTGGGAATGAGGAGGATTTGGGGTCAGGAATGAGGAGGATTTTGGGGGCTGGAATGGGAATTTTAGGGTTGGAATGAGGAGGATTTGGGGTCAGGAATGAGGAGGATTTTGGGGGCTGGAATGAGGAGGATTTTGGGGTTGGAATGAAGAGGATTTTGGGGCTCAAACGAGGAGAATTTTGGGTCAGGAATGAGGAGGATTCGGGGTTGGAATGAGAAGGATTTCGAGTCAGGAAATGAGGAGAATTTTGGGGGCTGTAAGGAAGAGAAATTTGGGGCTGGAAGGAGGGAGATTTTGGGGTTGGAAAATGCATTTTAGGGTTGGATATTCCTCCCCGAAAGTCCCGATCCTGCTGCTGGGGAGGATGAGGGAATTCGGGAATTCCAAGGTGGGAATTCGGGAATTCCAAGGTGGGATTTTTGGGAATTCAAGGCGGGATTTCGGGGTGTCTCTGCAGGAGTTGTACTCTTCCCCACCCGGGGCATTTCAAAATTCCAGGATTTTTGCATCCCTCGTGGTGTCGCCTCCTTCTGGGACATGGATGAGGGATGGAGAATCCTTGGGCACTTCCAGGGCTCCTCCCTGATGGAATTTGGGGTTTTTCCGCCAATTTCGAGCCACCAGGATGAGCCTGACCTGTTAAAACTTCGGTTTCTCTTCCCCCAAATCCCAGTCCAGCCTGGGAAACTCCTCCAGGATCCAATCCCAAAAGATTTTATGGAATTCCGAGTTTATTTTCCTTTCCCTCCGCCGCAATCCACGAGCTCGGATTAAAAAATCCCCCAAAATCCGCGGGAAAGGATGGGAATGGGAAAGTTCGGTGGGATTGGCTTCTCCCACAGAGAGGGGTCGCAGAAATTCCTCCCTCCTTGGGGCAAAATCCGGCGGATTTGGGATTTTCCCGCCCATTCCAGAGCTCAGGAATTAAAACCACTTCTCGTTTTTCCTCTCTGAAGCCCCCGCGGGCTCCCTTGGGAAATCAGGGATGAGATCCCGGCGTGAAATTCCGCAGGGATGAGGTCGGAGTCCAAATCCGAGGCGGGAGTCACCGTTCCCCGGGGGCCACAGGTGTGGGAATGAGCATTCCCGTCGGGAATTTCCGTCATTCCCAGCTCCAGAGGCGCATCCCGAGCCTCTCTCCCTTCTCCACCGCTCCGGGATCCCGCTGGAATTCCTCAGCCGCGGCCGGGGAAGGTTCCAGCCCTCGCTCCACCGCCCCACGCCGCTCCGCCGGGCGGATTTCCCCCCCCCCAGATCCCCTCTGGGGCCGCTCAGGGATTCCCGATGGGAATCAAATCCAACGGGATCCCCCGGGATTCCTGGAGAGGCTCAGGCCACCGGCAGAGTCACGCTGGCGTAAACCGTGGTGGGCTCCTTGGAGGGGACGCAAATTTTGGGGGACCAAATTGGAGCGGGGGGTGCCCCCGAGGGCGGGGTTGGGGACGATCCCCCCCTTACCTGGGACAGCGGGGGCGGTCCCCGCGGGGGCTCATCCGGGAGGCTCCGGGGGGCTCCGGGGGGTGGCCCGGTGGCCGCGGCGTAGATGGTGGTGGCATCAGGGACGGTTCCTTTGGGCTTCTGAGGGAGGGGACAAACCCCGGGCAGCGACACGAGGCTCCCCACGGGGCCGCTCCCGCCTTTCCCCGCCGGGTTTGCGCCCGAAAAGGGGGAAAATCCCGGAGTTTGGCCCCGCTGGGGGGGTCCGGGAAGTTGCGTGGCCTGGCTTTATTCCCGAAATTCCCAAATTCCCGGGAAGCAGGGATGGGTGACATCGCCATGACGTCACTCTCTCCCTTTTTCCCCCTTTTTTTTTCCCCCCCCTCTTTTTCCCTTTTCCTTATTTTCCTCCTTTCCTCCCTTTTTTGCTCTTTTCCTCCTTTTCCCTTTTTCCTCCCTTATCCCCCTTTTTCCCTTTTTCTCCATTTTTTCCCCTTTTTCCTCCCTTATCCCCCTTTTTTCCCCCTTTTTCTCCATTTTTTTCCCTTTTTCCTCCCTTTTTCCTCCTTTCTCCCTCCTTTTCCCCCTTTCCATCTTTTCCTCCCTCTTTCCCTTTTTCCCACTTTTCTTCACCCTTTCCCCCCGCCGCTTTCTCACCCCATTTTTCCCCGTTTTTCCCCCCAGATTTTCCCGTTTTCCCTGTTTCTCCCACCTGCACCTGGGCGTAGATGGTGGCCCCGGCGCTGTCCGGAGCGGCCGGAGACGGGTCCGGAGTGTCCTGGGGGGGGTCCCGGTCACCTTTTGGGAAGGGTCACAGAATCCTGGGATCATCCCGGCGGGAAGAGAATTCCAAGGCCATCGAGCCCCGCCCCCTCTTGTCCATTCCCGAGGAATCCCCAGGAATTCCTCGGACACTTCCAGGGATGCTCCGAACCTCCCCGAGCTCCTTCCCATGCCTTTCCCGGAGGGATTTTCCCGGATTTCCCGACCCGGCACGGCTCGAGGCCCCATTCCAGATCCCCAAATCCCTCCGGAAGATCCCGGAATTCCGCCTGGATCCCCCCCCTTTTCTCCAGGCTGAGCCCCTCCCCAGCTCCCTCAGGAATTCTCCTTTCGGGATTTCCCCTCCGAGAAACTCATCAGGGATGAGCTGGGGGAGGATCCCAAAAAGATCCCAATTCCAGCCACATCTCGGGATGAGATTCCCAAGGATTTCCGGAGGATTTCCGGCTCCTTTGGGGTCATTTCTGGGGTTTGATCTCCACCAGAAATCGGGAGGAGAAGCTGCTCTCTCCAGTTTTTGGGTTGGGATGATCCAATTCCCATCGGGATGGTGGGAGGTGGTCATGGACACCCATCCCATGGGAAAAGAATCCCTGGGAAATCCCAAATCCCATCCACGTTTTTAAATATTTTTTTTTTTTTTTTTTTCCCCCTAAAAACCTT